GGGAGCAGAAATATCCCCTGTGAGTTTTATGTCCATCCAGAACAAATCCCTGTGTATGAATTATAAGAAAGCTTTTCCAGCTTCTCCAGACCACAGATGATATGCAGAAATAACCTTCCAAATACACTGGAGGTATTTTCTTGGTTTTCTCATCAATTTGCAAGGACGAAATAGAAGAGAAAATTACTGTATGAAGTTGCTATAAATTATTTGCCAAGTTGCAGCTGACAAGTTTCTTATTGCTTCTTGCCATATGCAGATACCAACTTTGTGCAGAACAAATCCAGCACTACAAACTGTTCAGGGTATGACAAAGCTTTTCCTTCTTAGGGTTGGACACCCTGCTCTGCCACACTTAATCTGAATAAATCGGGGAAACATCACAAACTCATCCCATCCCACAGACCCCATCCCTGGAGTCACTCCATTCATCAAACAAAGAGAGATTGAAGCAAAGCTTTGACAAACAAAACAACATAAACACTACAAACAGCCTCAAGTCCTAGTCTGGCAGCCATCTAAATGGATTGCTCTGTCCACACAGCTTCTCCTGAATTCCCTGTGTCCTTTTGGGACCAAGAGATGCTCAGAGCCAAGCAGCCAAGGCAAGCCTGAAGCTGAAGGACAAGCAGTCCATGTTCACACTCTGCCCCAGGAAACATCAGTATTGCTGCTGGGCAGGCACAGCCTCCTTCTGCTCCCCTGAATTCAGGGAACAGACAATGGCCAAAGATTTTACTTGGCATCACTAGTTAATAAAGAAGTACCTCATGTCTAAGAACTGCTGAAAGGCCATTTTTCAGACAAAGCAATTGTATTAAGACTCAGATTGGCTAGAAATGTCAATGGAATGATAGAGAACATCATTTGCAGCCTAGAGGTTATAGATTTAGGGGATACAAGCAGAACGAACTATAACATTTTGAACATATGTAAAACTGAGTGAGACCTGCTGGCATGCCAGGCAAATTTAAATGCCTCTGGATACCTTGGTAGAGCCAAGCTTGTGCTTTGCCACTGGGGGAAGGAGGAACTGTGGCTAGAGAAAGGAAGCTGATGTTCAGTTTGGAAGAAAACACCCACAAACCATGGGTGTGGTGGAGGTAGGGCTGTCCAGGAGCAGGGAAGGGTGGATAATCCTTACAGAGACACTGAGTGGCTCAGTTACTTTCCTCCTTTCCTCCTTGGATGAGTCTCAACCATCAGATAAGCATGGCTGAACCTGGATCACACCAAAGGTTCTCATCTTAAATAAACTGCTGCCTATATTCCACCAATTCTAAACTGGCTGCCAACAAAACAGGTGAGGCACAGCAGCAGTGTGGATGCTTGGAGAGGTGAACCCAGATTAAGTAGGAAAAGCCAGAAGCCCTATTGCAAACCAGAGCAGGTCAGTATTATTGCTTGTAATCAGGGGTGCTCTGCCCTAAGCACAGGAGGCTTGTGAGCTCTGCACATATTAATCACATCTAGAGAGAGAACAACAACAAACCTGCTGCTGTCTGCAAACACAGTTCACATGGAATTAGGGGGATAGATGAGCACAGCTGCATTTAAAGGCAGAGCAGGAGTAAGTCTGGAAACTCTTGTGAATAAAGAAACAAAGCTGTTATCACATCAGTCCAGTGAAGCATTTGCATGTGTCTTTTATACTGACAATTCCCCACATCACCTGCCAAGAATAAAGCAAACATCACACCAAGAATGCCACAGCCTGAAGAAAATACCAAGCCAAGCACACCCAGCTGTGACAAACTCTCATATGGCAGCAACAGCTGTGGCTGGCCTGGGGGCTAAAGCTTCACAGTGCTGGTAGGCTTCAGGTTGTTGTGAGTTGGCTGTGGAGTGAAACTGCTGCTTGGAGTTGCCTTTCTGTGTCCCAAAACCTCATTTACTGAGGAAAAATGTCAGTCTGTCTGAGACACCAAGGTGAACCTTAAGCACATTGCCTCCACTGCATGTGATGAACATAAAACTCTGATGGGGATAGCAGGGGGTTCAAATCACATTCATTCCCTTAATTTTTAATTTTTTTTTTTTTTGCAAGGCAAAAGAAGTAAATGCATCTCAGCCATTTGGAAATACTCCAATCACTTTCCAAATGTCTGCAGACCATCAGTTCAATTTGGAAGCACTTTGAAGTGTAGCTAAGTCAGATAATGGAAGCTAATTCCTCTCTGCATCTTTCCCTTCTCACCTTCTGAGCAAGGTGAGACCCAACCACGATGAAGAGCAGCAGCACCAAGGAGTTCAGTGCATCTCAGAGGGGAATGGCAGAGGGAGGTCCCTGCTATTGAGCTGACCTGCCAAGAATGGAAGGTTTGTGATATTCAAGTGCTGATTCAAGTGATGGACTTTTCAGTCCCACTCTACATCCAAGATGTGCTGGGTAAAGTCAGAAAAATGGATGATTTCTACAGGTATTAAAAGAATGTTCTGGAAATGCATCACCTTGTTAACAAGGGTGCAAAGAAAACAATTCCAGTGTCATCTGCACCAATTTTAGATTGGGGTCCCCTTTTGATCCCACTGGGGCTATTCCAAAGTGGGATCTGAGCAAGGGAAAGGAAACCCCAACCTGAAGTCATGCAAGGCAACTGGTCAATCCCAGAGAATCTCAAGTAGTTTGTTTTTCCAAACATCCCATTCCTTAGCAGACAGCCACATGGTGAACACAGTGCTTTGAAATGCCAAAAGAACATTTCTGCTGAGACTGGGACAAACCCCTCAATTTCAATGCCCTTGAATATGAATAAACAATTTCCACCACTGGATCTGGACCACATGGCTCAGAGCATGCCCCTGTTCCTGTTAATGGGTGTTTTTCTAACTCCATCCTTGTTTTTTTGAGTTTCCTGCATGGTTAAGGCAGTTGCAGGATGGAGGTGAAGTGCTGACAGGTCAAGGCCCATAACACAGTTTGGGAAGAAGGAGGATGTCTGACACTCTTCCTTTGTTATTCTGTAACAAAAATTGGGTTGCAGGCAAAAATGGCTTGTGGTTCTGAAATCAGAAAAAAACCCCCAAATGCCTGCTGGTGTGGATGAAGGGTTTGGTCTGTGTATTTTCTTTCAACTAAGGATCTGTTCTTAAATCTGTACCAAAGCACTGACAGCAAAGCCCTTCACGATGCAGGCATCAGACCTAACCCTAGGGGAAAAAAAAAAAGAAAAGAGTGGGATGGGGGAAGAGATTTTCAAGAGTTCCATTATCAAAAGAAATAAAAAACAATCATGCAGGAATTTCAAGTTACAGCTTAAAAATAACATAAGTAACCCCATTCAACTGCATCTCCCACACATAATACAAGAAGAGATCAAATGAAAAAAGTAAAGAAAAACAAAAATGAAAATGTTATGTGCCCTGGAATCCTGTTTCTATAACTCCGGTCAAGGCAGACTTTTGACTGCAGCAACAAACCACAGCTCATGAACACTGGGAGTTTGTTTTACATCATATCAATCAGCATGCTATTCTCCTTCACCTTGGAATTTCAGAGGGGAAAATCATGAAATTGTGAAAGGGGTTATGAAATTTCAAGCAAGCAGGCTTTTAGAAAGGTTCTATTGTGTGACATTTGTGTTGGAGTCTGAAAGTGTGTGTATAGTATAAAATTATGAGCTAACATTTGGAAAGACAGCAGTCTAAGTAATAAATCTGCAGAATGAAGAGAACTGTACAGAATGATTTCAAAGGCTTATTCTTGACAATTATATATATTTTATGAGACAGTTATGCACCCTGTGCCTTTTCTGAATTCATTGTTTTATGGATGCAGTTTCTCTATTTTAGCAGATAGGATATACTAAACCAACATAATGGTCTAAAAAGCATCATTTACCACCCAACATAACAATGGCACTGCATAGCTTAATTTTTTTTTTCTTAAACTCCTTCATCAATTGAGTGATTCTTAACATGGCTGAAACCCAAGAATTAAATATCTGCAATTACAATATTTGTTGAGTATTTGGCACAATGGAGTTTATTTGATACACCCTTTTTTCCTGCCCTTATTGTTGCTGAACATGTAATTCTGTGCATAAGCTGCAAGCACACGTATAAATTCAATCAAGTGGAAGCAGTTTGATACTCCACACCCATGTTGCAAAGCTGGATAAGAGAAAAGTGTGCTAAAAATGTGCTGAACATGAGTGACAAGTTATCCACCCTGTGTAATTGTGCCAGCTCTGGGGTGTCCACTGCAGCAATGGACAAGGACTTGGGGAAGATCAGCCCCTCTGCCACCTGCATGGAAGTGACATCCAGCATTTGACTCAACATGCCAGGTTACTCCTCTAAACATCCTCAAGTTCACAACAGCTTTGAAATTCACACAAAAAAAAAGGAACTCTTAATTATGATGCTAACCCTTAAAGCCCTTCTGACATTTAGTCCATCGGAAACAAGTCTGGTTCCTGGGAAAAGAACTCATCAAATGCCACCAATTTGCATTGCTTCCCAGCAGGAATGTTTTGGAAAACAAAAGTTGTGCATACAAAATAAGCCTGACCCCCACGTTTCTCGTAATCAGATGAAAATTTCCCCATGGTTTTTGCAGGTTTAGGTAAGACTGCACTGCAGGAGCCAAGCCAAATCTGCTCCTGCATGGATGCTTTGTGGGGAGCTGAATGGAAGTTTGAGCTGCTCAGTGTTGGCCAACCTCTGCTCCCATAACCCAGCCTTCCAGAGGGACACTATTCCCACATTTACAAACAAAATGTGGCATCCAGGAGAGATTATTCCATCCTCCTCACATGGCTCCCACTGAAAGTCAGTGGAATTTCTCAGGTGAAAAATAAAACACCAGTTGTGAGGGCTGAAGGATTAAGGTCAGTATTCCTCTCATCTTGTACACACACACACACACGCACACACACACTTTAAAGAAAACATCCACCACACAATTTCTAGATTGCAAATTATATATATATATCTTTAAAAACTGGAGAGAACATCAACAGCCTCTCCACATATATATGTATTCACTGAGTCACATAGAATATGAAAAAACTATATTATGTAAATCATCATATTATCTATAATTCTCCAACAGACAATTGTTTTTATAGAGACACAGTGCATTCATTCTCTTCTTTAAAAACATATTATGTGTCTTCATTGGCTTGGTAGCATATTAGAATGAAGGCGTATGGATAAAAAATGCAGAGGATTAAACAAACCCCTTGAGTCACATTACATTTGGGTGAATTAAACAGGATCCTTCCCCAAACTAGCATAAATAAATCCTCCTCATGGAAAAGTGTCAGCGATTTAAGGGTTAACACATACTCGAAAATAATTCCAAAAAAACCATCTTATTAAAGGACTACACAGATAAGTATTTGGAACTCATCCCCCTTTAAAAATGACAGCACGTTTGGCAAGTGTGAGCAAATGCCTTGAACTCTACTGGGTTTGAGATCTGAGCCTGGTTATTCACAGACAGCCACAGGAGCTGCAATCTGTGAATAAGCCAGGCCTGGAAGGACTTGGATACCCCTGACAGCATCGCTGGCCACTGGGAAGGTTTCCAGCAGCTTTCAAGGAATTCATCCTGGGCTCGTGGCTGGTGACAGAGTGTGACTGGTGGAAGGGCTCCAGCACCGCTCCCTCTTTGCCATCGTGGATGCAGCAGGGTGGAGCAGCACCCAGCCTGGCCAGCCCTGCAGGGCTCCACACACCCCATCTCAACTGGGAAAGAACCTATTGCTGTTATCACCTTGCTGTTATCACCCTGCTGTTATCAGCTTGCTGTCATCACCTTGCTTTCTCTACACCTCGTGCCAAACTCTCCGTTGAACCTCTGCAGGTGCCCTCCTTGGAAGCTCGTGCTGTCACCAAAGGGGCTGGTGCCCAGCCACAAGGGCTCCCTGCTTTCTCCATCACCCTGCAGGATGTCACAAGCGATCCCATCAAAAGACTCTGGTCTCAAGAATCCTGGCTGGGTGTGACTTTGAGAAAAAGACAAAAGTTTCCTGTGTTGCCGTTGCTGTTTTGCAGTTGTTTCTTCTTCCATTCGTGCTCTCTCCTTGTTTTTATTAAAAAGGACCCTTGTATTATTAATATAGTTCACTCCTCCACAGTCACTATAAAACAGACTCCATATTTTCACACCACTCATGATCTTCAAGGTTATAGATAAATTTTGTCCTATGTGGTTGATTTTGGGGCACCGAGTCCCGCCCCAGATTGTCTAGGGTGAGAGTAGAGGCAAAAAACTCACTAGTGCTGAGACCACCTTCGTGGTTCTTGATGTATCTTTTATAGTTTTTCCTCAAGCACTGCCAGGTGGTTGTGTACAGGATGAATGCAAAGGACTTGAGGGCGATGGCAATGCTGACATACAGGTATCTGTAGACCACGTTGTCATACAGTGCACAGGCTCCTTGCTCCCCACAGAACGTGCTCCAGAACAGACACGTGGAGTCAATCCCGGCCCCGAAGATCAGCGGAGGTGGGATAAAACCTGCCAAAATAAGAGAGACAAATCATGCTTCTATGATCCCTGTGATAAAGAGAGAGAGGACGTGACTGCAGTGAGTGGGAAGAGGGTACTTTATCAAGGCTAATAGTCCCAGCTGCAGCCTGTGATTTTCATTTTTGAAGTTCTAAATCAACCTGAATGAAGTTTGTGGATGAGATTTTAGCTTGGACTTAACGTCTGTGGAAGAGATACCTGCTGATATCAACATGCAGCAAGAATCTTATTCAAGTCTGAGTGGCTTTTATTAAGCTTCTTGTTTGCCTAATGAGACTAAGTGGAGGGATAAATGAAAGGGGAGGACAGCCTTGCAGCTCACCCTCTAGAAACTGGCAATTCTGCACTTTAGAGTGTTGCCCTGAAGGATCTCATAGCATTCCAGTTCAGCACCTAAAATCAGCCTCGACACTGAGATCCAGTTTTGGACTGTACTCTGATATCAAAACATAGCAAAAGGTTTTCTCTGGATCTAAGGAAAAGAAACAATAGCCCCTAATAGATGTCAAAGATGCCATCAGAAAAGAAGGGAAAATTTTAGAGTGTCATTAAATGAAATATCACAGCAGGATTCTCCCACAGCCACTGCAGCTAACTACTGATGAGTGTTTCTCAATCATAGTTTGCAGAAGAGCTGCAATCTTCAAGCAAAGTAATCACTCCAATCTCATTTAACTAATAAAAGAAATGTTTTTCTTGTCTCCTTTCCCTCATCCTGCAGGGACACTGCAGCAACCCCCCATTTCCCATTAGCCTGATGGTGATTAGGACATCCACACTCCAGCTCTGCGCTCCCCAGCCAGCCTGGGAGAGAAGAAAATGTGAACATTCTACATAATGTAACCATTTCTCTACCTTCTGCTGTATTTATGGGCAGAGGCTAGAACCCTGAAAAAAGCCCTGATGGATGAAGTCACTGCTGTGGGCTAAGACAGTGAGCAAAGGAGAGCATTGCATCTACCGAAATCCAACAGCAGGCAGGCACAACACCCCCCTGACAGTATCAATGCATCCGTAGGTGCTCTGATGCCTGGGACTCTATAAATACCTGTGACAGCAGACACAAGGAGTGCAGTTTTTAGACAGGAAAGTGTTTAATCTTGGATCCAGTTTCATCATTAACCTGGATTTCCAGGCTTAAAAAAGATACCTTCCTTCAGCTTGTCACGAGCAAAGTAGTGACATTCATGACATGAATCCTAAGACTACAAATAAATTGGTTGTCTTCACTGTTCTCTGTGGTAACTGAGATCTCTTTATTTTATTTTCTTGATGACTGGAGCTCTGCAGATTTTGTTTGATCTTCCTTCTATGTTGGTAAATGCAGGAATTAAGAGAGGTTATATGGGCTTTTGGTTCTCATTTGAACCAGTCATTAATAGCACAAATGTAGTAAGTAAAACCAGATGATAAAAAAGCAAGACAATCTGTTTGTTAGAAAAACTCGTTCCAGTCATCATATCTAAAAACCTATCTATGTTCTGGAAAAAAAATATCAGCACCAGCTCTGTGTTCATCATTTCAATGACTAGAAAATCCAGGCTGGGCTGGTTCTGTTTCTAAGTTCAAAGACACTTTTTTAGCTGAAACCTGTGAACAACCACACACTCAACCTGGATTTTAAAAATTCAGTTGGACTCCTGCCACAAAGAAGCAAGAGGCTGTGCTGCTGACTACAGTTTGTGTGCCCAGTGCTGCTGGATGGCACCTCAGGGGTAATATCCAGATCTGGCAGTGACTGAGGAGCCACATTCTTCCTGTTTTAACAGACAACCACATTTGGATCATAATTTTGAGGTGTGAGTCCCTGTTAACATGCTGAGAGATGCTGACACAAAGCTTTGGAGATGTGCAGGCTGAACTTCAGGGAGAGCTGCCATCCCCACCTGCTGGCTCCAGCCTGGAGTCCACCACAGTTTGGCCTGGAATGTGCTCCTCATAAGACTTGAGGTAGGACCTGTTTCCCTTGAACTCCAAAGCTACTCCCATGTGAATGCAGTCATGTGGAAAACCCTTTGGCAACCAGTGAGTATTTCAGGTTGTTTTTAGCAGAGGAGAGGATGAGAGACTCACAGGAGCAAGTTGGTGCTCAGAACCCCTGAGACAAGGGAGGTGAGCAGTTGCACTGCACATCAGAAACTCCTCCTGAGAGTGAAACACTGTGGGGTTTTGTCATGTTAGAATAAGAGGCAAACAACATGAGCTTGGAAGAAAAAAAATCTAAGGAAGTGCCCTGGTAAGCAGAGGCTCTTCCAGGATGCATGGTGAACACCACCCAGAAAAAATGCATCCAGGATCTTAAAGGTCTGAAATTTTTTGCCACTCCAGACAAATCCATTCCAAACCTTTGGCTCCAATGGCACTGCTTTACTCTCTTCTCTGGGAAACTGCAGTAATGCTTTTTAAATGAAGATACTGTTAGGCTGCCCTCTCACAGCAGAATTCCTATGAAATGAGACAATATATGCAGGAGGATACCGGGAGAATTCAGTCATGCTTCATGTTATTACAGTGAATATTAAAGAGAGTCAATCATGTTCTACCTCTTACTGCAAAGTGTTGCAAAAATTTCTGCTCTCTCTATATATTTATATATATTTCATAGCAGAAACTGTAGGGCTGCATAAAAAAAGGTGCTTCTGTCTTACTGAAATCTATTAGCTAGGATTGCACCTTCGGGTCTCATACCTCTTGCATTTAATTCTCTCCTTTGGTGTAAGAAGCAGCTATTATCGCTGTCTTCTTAAGTCAAAGCTTAAAGGTGAACTGAAAAGCTTTTAAAATAAATCAGTAAAGCTATTCTCAAACCTCAGGTTGATAGAGGCACAATTTGGATACCCTTGCTCATACAGAAAAGTATCTTTCTCTTCATTTTCTGTGCGTTCCAGCTACATTGCTGATATGATTCAGGATGTATTGTCTTATTTCATGGGAATCCCTTAGTGACAGAGCAACATATAAAGATTTGAATTTAAATTCTTACTATGGCTTCTTTACTGAAATGAAAAAGAAGAAATCTGTTCAGCTTAAGCATACATGTCTGAGCCTGGTTTTAGAGGAATTCAGGATGCTGCTATCTCAGGAGGCTTCTCTCTTTTGAATGGAAAAAAGAGAAGATAAAAATCCCTCCCCTTAAGTATTTTTCCTTTGGAAACAACAGCCCACAGCCATCCTCCTTGCACACTTGTCTGCTGAGACTCCATATTCAGCCAGTCACAGCTGAAGTCAGGCCAAAACCCACCAGCAGCACCAGCAGCTAAAGAAAATGCTGTGTTTGCAAGGCTTGAACCAGAGCTGACCTGGGTCATCCCAGAAATTTCCCTTTGAGTTATCTGAGATCTGGGTAACTTAACTTGAGGGAGCTTTTTGTATGGCTGCAGCTACTTCACCAAAACCAATGGACATCTAATTGGCTTTACTGTAAACTGGTCTGGGAGCACAACTTCCTGTTCAGCTTATGAGGATTAAGGTGTTAAAACAATAAGTAAAAAAGGAAGTCACTTATTCAAAGCAATGTCTGATACTGCTGGATTTTCAGTCCTGTACTTCCCAGTGCCTTGTTGTAGCCTAAGAAATGGCACTTTAGGCTCCAGCTCATTCCTTTGGGACCAAGGGAGCCATGCAGGGAAGGTGCTCTCTGTGCCCTGCTAAAAAAATAAGTTCCACTCCCACAACATGCAGAAACCCTGGGCATGAGATGGTCCCACACAATGATGGATCAGAGGATTTTGCCCTGAACCACTGAGACTAATGAGCTGAAGAGCTTTAAAATAGGAGCCACCTCTTCCAGAAGGGAAAAAAAACAGCCAGAAACAAGCAGCAGCCTGGTATGTTCCCTTTAATTCATACATGAGGAGAACATACTGGTGCAGAGGAGGAGCCATAAGCATTTTAATGGGATATTAACCCACAGGAGGAAACAAGGACTCAGCTTGTCTGATTTTCCTGGTTTCATTTCTGAGACACCCAAAGGAAAGGGCAAACTCACCATGTAACACAGGTCCTGTCCCTCAAAGGAGGGTGAAAATCCATATCCCTCTACTTCAGCCCTATGCAGTGCAGCAGTAATTCTGCAAGCTGCTGACATGTTATTAACAACTACAGAAGAGAAACTGGTTGTGTGGGACCATGGGAGAAACAGCCATTGCTCATGCAACACTGCATTTTCTTCCATTAGCACAACACAAATGGCAGGAGAAGTGCTTCAGGAGCCTTGATGTGACATCCCTCACGGAGAGGGCTTGGAGCCCAGTGTGCCAGACCCCTCTCACGACAAGGACAGCACTGCAAGGAGCAGAAATCAACTTCTGCACGTTAAAAAGAGGGAGCAAAGGGTGGGAGAGAAGCACACACAACTTTTGTACCTACCTAGCAACCGCAGCAGCAGGAAAAGCACCCCCAGAGCGTAAGACTTGAGTTCAGGGCTCACAGTCCTGCGGGGAGCAGGGAGAGAGAAATCAATTCCTGTTGTTCTGCTTTGATTAACACACCCCGTGGCCATGCTGTGCTGTCAGCCAGGATGCCACCAGCACCTCTTCAAAAAGTCATTAATGGGGCTTTTCTTCTGCCTTCTCCTGAACTGCCTACAGCCCCAAAAGTAATTGCATGGGCGATGGGTTCAGGAATTAGCCAAGTCATTAATAACAACAGCTAATGTTGACAATGGATGTTTATAAGCTCCCCATCAAGTTTTCAAGGCTCCAGATGTTGAGAACTGGAGGGAGAGAAAACTTTTGGTTCTGAAACTCCCCAGACTACTGGGAACAAGAGAGGGAGGGAGAATGGTGGACCAAAAGGTTCAGTCAGCCTGGTGATTCAGTGAGGAAGTGCTCAACACTGGTTTTCATGCAGTTTGCAGTGTCCCGTGCTATGAACACAACCACTATTGCATTAAGAGTTATCCTTCAAAGGTGCTTTAAAGAAACACTCATGGCAGGGGTGGTTCTCAGTATAAATACATGGAAGGGGCATCAGCCAAAACTGATAAAACAGAATCAGTGAGAGCTTTTAAGTTAGGAGAAGATCCTTCTGATCACCTGCCCTCCTCTCACACATTCATGGGCCATGTAATACCACACCATGACTTCTCTGTGAAGCTGTGACCTCGAGATGAATTTCAGCAGTTTCCAGGCAGACCCCCCACACTAAATATCTAAAGCCTTTATGCTGGGAATTATATGACCTTGGACAAATGTTCCAATGGTTAATGGGTTGGCTCAAATAGGATTCTACAGTTGGGTGAGAAATGAGGGAAACAGAGCATTAAAAGTTTATTTTAATGAAAAAAGAGATTATCACATGGAATATTCACAGTGGACTTTTAACTGGTGGTGGTGTCTTTCCATCCACTTTTCTATATTTAAGACCAAAGTCAATCCCCATACCTTAGGCTGGAGTAAAAATTGTCACTTGGAGACATCTCCTTTTCTCACTGACTACAGCAGTGACCAAATGACTTGCTAAGACAAGTCTACATTTAATTTGTAGACACCGAGTCCATTTTTAAATAACCATGGGAGCTGCCAGTGTCACTTGTCACTGCTCTGGACACCAAGGACACATTCATATGCCACAACTTTCTTTAAGCAATGGAAAATGGCAGTTGCAAGAGAGCACAAGGTGCTTATCTGGCTCAGAGCTCTCTGCTGTACATTTGGTACATTTTGTCAGCTATCAGTGATTCTGAGTGAAGTTACAAATCTGGATGTGTGAACTGTTTATTTCCTACAGCTCTGAACTGAGTATGTTTCATCTTCCCTTTGCTTTTCTTATTCCCTGGTATTCTTCTTCCTGGCTTATCTCATTTGAAGGCAACACTAAGATGTCTCCATGTTGTATCCTAAAGGTGCTGGCAGCTTCCTTGAACAAGAACTCTTCAAACTCCAAATTGCTTTTGTCACAATATTTATCATGAGGAAATTTGATTTCCCTTTAGCTACTGGAGATGCAAAGAGAGAAATGAACTAGTAGGTGGAATATCTCATTTTGTATCCTGCAGGGAGACATGCCCTCACAGAGCTCTTCTGTCCAAAATCCACTCAAGAGTGTGTTTCTAATACAGACCTTATTGATTGAATTTTATTGGAATTTTCCAGGCAGCAGAATGGATCTGCTATTTATGCCTCTGGTTATTAGTCTCAGTAAGTGACAGCTTGGACAGCTAAGTAATTTTGGATAAATGTGGGCTTAGATATATATGTATATCATAAGGTGAAGTGTTCCATATGTCTGGAAATAACACAAGGTCAGTTATTTGAATAAGCTACTTTTGCCCACCTATTCCCATTGGTTTAATTCAGACGTGTCCTTCAGACTTCCAAGCTCCTTATGTTCTTGGACTTGCTCCAGGGTGAGAGAAGTTAAACTCCAGGCAGGGAGGTACTCACCAAAGCTAGCTTTAAATTCTTCCGTGGTTTCTGTGGTCTCCAGATGATCTCAAAAGGTGAGCCTAAGCCTCTCTCTAAGCCATTACATGCTGAGAACACGGGATGGCAATTCTGCCCCTCTCCTGATGCAGCTGTAACCTCCTTACTAGCTGGATTGGAAACTGCACATCTGTATTTCCATGTTAACCCCAGAAGAACAGCCCCTGCCACCATTCTCTGAAAGATCCCTGCAGGAATCTTGTCTGTTTGGGAGCCCAGTTCCACCTCACTCCCTCACTTTACCAAAGGAGGGCTTAAGCAGTTCCCATTTTCTCTCCAGCAGCTCCATACTGCAGGCCCGGAACTGGGGCCATGCCTGGCTAAACCAGACACTAACAAGTGAAAAAGAGTAGGGAGAAAACAGCTTGAATGAAGGTTCAGTTCAAAGTCATGGGTCTGGAGACAGTGAGCCTGGTATAAAAGGCAGAGGCCAGGAGCTGTGTGGGACCCTCAGCTCCCCCCTGTGCCTTAGAGTTCCTCCAGCCCTCATCTCATGACGAGATCCCACCACCTGATGAGGATGGTGACTGATGGTCCTGCTTGGTGAGAATGGTGACCAAAGCCCCACCTGATGAGGACGGTGACTGGTGGTCCTGCTTGGTGAGGATGGTGGCTGAAGCCCCACCTGATGAGGATGATGACCAAAGCCCCACCTGATGAGGATGATGACCAAAGCCCCACCTGATGAGGATGGTGACCGAAGCCCCACCTGATGAGGATGGTGACTGAAGCCCCACCTGATGAGGATGGTGACTGAAGCCCCACCTGATGAGGATGGTGACCAAAGCCCCACCTGATGAGGATGGTGACCAAAGCCCCACCTGATGAGGATGGTGACCAAAGCCCCACCTGATGAGGATGATGACCGAAGCCCCACCTGATGAGGATGATGACGGATGGTGTCTGCGCCATGGCCCCGATCATGCTGCAGACACACATCACACACAGGAATGTCAGGAAGGCCTCTTCACAGCCAGGGCTGGGGCACTTGCCAGGAACCACGGTGGCGTTTTCAGGAGGGACCGAGGTGAGGCACGAGCAGCCACTGAGGTTCTGCAGAGAGCACAAGGAGTCAGGAGAAGGGAGAGCTCTGATCCCATCGCTGCCCTCTGTAACAGGGCTTGTCAGCAGCAATGCCTAATCCTCTGATGGTCAATTAAATAACTCCTAAGTGCTTGTTGGAGGGGGGTTTGGAGAGAGTTTCAGGAGCGTCAGAGCTGACGCATGCTGCCAGCAAGGGAAAGCTGTCCCTTGCCTTGTTTCTTTTCTTCTGCTCCTTTCAAGTCTCTCCCATAAATGTCACGGTGACAGAATTATTACCGAGTTCTACCTCTTTGGAGGAGAATAAAGAAACAATCTGTGTCTCTGTGACAAGGAAGATTCCCCCCATTATGGTTCTAATTACTTTCTTATTTACCTCTGTCCTCTTGGCTGTTGCAATTAAACTGAAGTACATTAAATGCAGGTAAATCTGCAGCCCTGCTCTTGGCTGCAGGTTTGGGGACTGCTTCCAGCACCTCAAATCCTGGGCAGGAGCCACCCAAGATGGGTGCTGCAGCTCACCCAGAGCTGAACCACCACAGCCTGGCAGCAGGGATGCTGCTGGACCTCAGTGCACTCCAGGGCTAATAAATGACATCTGATTCAGAGGGATTTGTGTTGAGCTAAAAGCTCAAGTCAAGCAAGATAAACTTTATCAATATGTGATCAGAAGGAGGGTGGAATGACTGCATTTTGCTTTGATCTCTCCAGCAAGTGCAGGATGTGAAAAGAAGCTTTGTTTGCCAGTCACAGATTTAAGGATTTTTTTTTTTTCCTTATTTTCCAACTCGCCCTCCTGAATTTCTGAGTGGGGGATGTCAGTGCAATTAAGGCACACAATACTACCAAGAAATCCCTTAACGAATACAGAAAGAAACAGCCATTAATGATTCATGGCTTGTCTTCACAAGCCCGCTGGGTTTGCAGGTCACATGTTTGGATGAGGAGCAACGTCATAAAATATAACATATTGAAAAGCAGTTCAATCTCCTCCCCTTCTCCCATACCACGTGCAAGCAGAAATTCCTTTGCTTTTCTGCCAAAGGGGTCCCCTTAGGACCATACAAAAGCACACTTTCTGGTTCACTGCCTCCAAAGATAAGGATCAGCAGGGATACTACTCCAACCTTTCTGACACCAATCTCTTTCTTCTGCACAGGAGTCAAATCATTTTTTTCCATTTAAGTGCACAGAGGACAAGAGAGACTGTGGTGCAGAACTCTAGGAGAGCTGGAGCAGACATGCAGGTGCCTTTCTGCTGGCAAGCAGTAATTAAAATAACAAATTCCTGTGCTGTGAGTTAGAAGCTGACACCTGAAGGCTCCAGAATGGTGACAATTAGCACCACCAAGGTGGTGTTTGCACAGACAACAGGAATTTGTAGCTCCTAGCTCTTACTGCAGTGCACTGCTGGCCACTAGCCTGGACAAGGCCCTGTGGATCAAAACCCATGTAAGTCTGGAAAAATATACACCTGCACTGAACAACCCTTGGACAAAATTCCCATCACAGCAAACGTGCAGAATTGGGTGTTTATTTCCCATGGGCTCTCATCAAGAGACAGAAAGGACCTGTTTTGGGCAGTGGTGGGGCAGACTGTCCTGCCACTGGTGGGATTTTTTTACAAAGCACAAGGCAGGTTCTACCTTCACTGCCTGAAAATTTGTCCCTCAATCTGCTTTTTTTACCACTTTGCTTCAAGGTGCTGGCCCCAAGCACTGTGAGTGGTTTGTACCAACCACCTCAGCTTGCTTAGCACTGCACCTCATCCTTACCTGGCAAATCTTTGATCTTTTATTACTGACACAGTATGCAACTCACAGACATCAAACAAGGAAACATCAAAGATGGAGTTATAACTTTGTCCTGTGGAGAGGAAAATTTTTGCTACCTGTGCCAAACTTCTGTAGATCTCCTTGTCTACAACCCCACTGCATCCAACCACTTGTTATCAGAACCTTCTGCTGCCCAGCAACCTGCACACCCAGATTTATGTGTGCCTGTGAAGCTACACAGATGCAGAGTTTACACCTTTAACAGCATCCTGACTTTGCTGTGATTATCCACGCAAATTATTTTACCCACTTTTTAAATTACTCATTTTTTAAGCTCTGGCTCTGACAGGGAAGGGACAGGCTGGTATTTCAATGCAAAGCTGTGAGGTGCCAGCACAGTAACTCCAGGCTGGAATTCATGTGTCTCCAGCCAAAATGCTGAGACAGTCAGTGGCATCAAACAAACAAGATGCACAGCCCAACATGTGGTATGCAAGGGTCACTCCTAGGAATGGCTGGAAAGAAAAGTCCTTGGGGGTGCCAGAGCTCTGCCTACCAGCACTGATACTCCTATGGCTTTTTGGACAAGTGCACCTCTGGAATCAGCTCACTAAGAAGAGAAGGAATGAAAAAGAAAGAAATATCTGAGCTACACACTGCTTTTAGAAATTGTTCACAGAGGAAAAGTGAAGAGAAGCAGTCAGAAACGTAAAATGTAGTAAAGTTAAATAAAGCATTCAGAGAATTTTATGTCCCAGTAAAAAGCAACCCTTGCCTCATCACAAGCACATAACATTCACAAGACCCTCCAGACAGGTCATTACCTGGATTATGGGTTTAAAACTTGGTTTGGCAATTTGGCTTTGCCTCAAGGCCATTGCATGGCCAAACTGGTCCATAATTCTTGATAATGCCCTTTCCAGCAGATGCTATTGCTTCACCAATTTGTGTTCAAAATGTTACTGCAAAAAACCCCCACAAAACAAAGAGATGAGAAGAACCCCAAGGATGACAACAAAAAGGCAAAATGAGAAGGAGTGAGTAAGAGAGAGCATGGGGGAGAGTGAGTTTTTTGCTGAGAGGCTTGCTCTTGCAGAGCACAAGGTCAGGCAGCTGCAGGCTGAAGGGGCAGAGCTGAATTTTCATTACCATGCTCCTTCCAGAGGAGTCAGAGCTTTGCCCTGCACTGCACAGATTTCTGCCATGCTCCAGCCACACACCAGCTGAACACCTGCTGAAGGCTTGGTGAGCTGGTGAGACACAATTCTGTGTGCCTGAAACAAGCTGGTTTCCTCTTAAAACCATCCTGCTGCCATCTCAGGTGTTGGCTTATTGGGAGGAGGAGGAGGAGGAGGAGGAGGAAGAAGGCAGGGAGGAGACACCTTCATGTGTGGCACGTTGATGTGGATCCTTGTAGGGCTGCTGAAAACTCAAAACTGTGGTGTTTCAAAGGGATGCCAGCATCTCTGAGGCTGGGGGGGGGAATGGAGGAGACAAGATGTTTAAGCAGGATGAGCTCACAGGTGATGAGGGTGGGGAGGCTGCACTGCCAGCTCCAAGTGTCAGCACTCACCTGTGCCTTGTCTCTGGGGCAGGAGGGGAGGTTTGGTATCTCCTCAGCGAGGAAGGATGAAGCCATGGAGGGATAACTGCATGTGCTGAGCACACAAACAGTGCCTGTGACCAGGCTGACCTCCCACAGACTCCACACAGCCTGGCACAGCCCCAGGCAGTGAGCAAGGATGCAGGAATCCCACCAGTCCCCACCCACAGGAGCCCTCATTTTCAGTGTAACCCAGAAGACATTAACATTTCAGCAGCAAAAAATGAAAAAGCTGGCTTTTAAGATATTGTTAAAAATTCCCCACATCTTCTTTATACAGGGATAGCTTGGTCTTTACGAGCTTTCTAAGGGAAAAAGCTCTTAGAGAAAACTGAAAAATGCAGAATGTCTTTGGATGGAAACTCTGCTCCCCTGACAACTGCTCTTGCTGCTGCCTCAGAGCAAAGCAAGGAAAGAGAAATAAGCAAGGAGAGTTAAAGGAAAGCTTAAACAAGGGTGAATAAAACCAGCAACTGCTCACAACTGTCTAGGAACCAGATTCAGGGAAAGAGCAAGAGGAAAAAGACTGAAAGGGCTGGGCAGGACAAACATGGGCAGGTGGAGAAGAGGGGAGATGAGGAACAACAACAGGATAAAAGAGGAGCAGGTCCCTCAGCTCTCCCTTCTGGGCTAGGGATCTCTTGCAGAGGATGTGTTCTACCACTGGACACCTGTGCAGATCTCCCATCACGTTCCTTGCTTCCCTGCTGAGGAGGAAAACCAGGGCAGGAGGCTGTGAGATCCCATCCTGCTCCCTGCACAGAGTGGGCATTTATGGAACAGAGTGAAAAACAACAGGGCCACCAGAGCTGTGAGCTCACTGGCTGTGGGTGAGCTGCCCCACCAGACACACAGGAACCTCACTCACTTGAGCTCCCAGAACTGCTCCTACAGGTGAGGGGTCCCCAGGGAAGGCCACTCACCGTGCTGCTGCAGCCAGCAAAGCAGGCAGATAAGTATGTGACCCCGTCTGCCCCACACACTGGAGTGAAGGAATCAGTTTGGCATTCACAGTTGTTATTGCACGGGGAATATGGGTCCAGAGATGAGGTTGGAGTTGAGCTGTAAGACAAAGAGAGAAAGAAATTAATGGACAGTGTGGTATCAGCCAGCTCTCCCAACTGTTGCCTCACAAAGATGCCTTTGAGGGGGAGAGTTAAGGGGCAAACACATTAAAAAAAGCAGTGGGCAGGCGAGCTGGGTTCCAGCTCTAAGAAATCCAGGCTACAGCCTCTTCTTGGAGACTGAAATGCCATGGCCATTATCTCCCTGCAAGAGAGAATCTAATGCAAGCCTTGGGCTGCCCTGTTACCTCAACAAGGAGCCTCCCTCAAGGAAACACAAAGAGATGCTGTGGAGACAGCTCTGTGTTTTTCTGTAAGGAGCTGACAGGCTGATGTTGTCATCTAAAGAGTTGCCACTGCATACAGCAGCACTCAGGAAGAAAATACCAAATGACTCTCTCCAAGTCCTGTGAGTGCAGGACAAAACAGGGTTATGTGAGCCTCACTTCTCACATTAAAATGAGCCTGCAGCCAAAAACACTCTCTCTTCACCATATCTGTATTTCTAGGCATCTAAAACCTGGTTCTACAGCCTCCCCTCAGGCACTGAAATCAATGTACAGAGCAGTGCATGTCCCTTACTGCCAGGACAAACCAGACCCAATGCTCCAGAGGTGCCTGTGGGTACACACTCAGGTCTGGCACCTTTTGATTCAGTTTGACTGAATTTCAGATTTTAGTGAAACTCTGCTGTCATCTGCAGGCGCTCAGGTCTCTCAGCGGTGAGTGGCAGGGAAACATGCCAGACTAAGAGCCCACACCACACTGCCTTCTCTGTGCTTGCTCTGTGGCTGTCTGAAGGCCAGCACTGCTTTTCAAGGACACTAACATGGATTTATGCTGGCAGAGCTCCCTGAAACTCTCTGTGGACTCACTTGTTTCCATAGGGAACAGTAACCCCTGCCACAGGCCCTGTGTCACAGCCCAGGAACAGGAAGGACACGTAGCAAGCTGTGGACACCAGGTTCACCAGCATGGCCATCCTGATGGCTCCCAGAGCAGACAGGCTGAGCTTCTTCACCAGGAGGCCACCCAGGAATATGCCCAGACATGCACATGGGATTGCTGTCATCCCTGCAAGAGGAAAAGGCAGTTAGCAAGGCCCAGTGAGCTGCACTGGGACAGGCTGAGCTCTCCAGCAGCCAGAGCTGTGCACTGGCACCAGGAAACTTTGCAATGCCCAACTGCTGGAGTGGCACCGAGCTGGGGCTGCCCAGAAAAAGGAACAGATGCAAACAGGCATGCTGCCTTGCATGGAGGAACCAGGATCTTCTGCCAGTTCTCATCCAGGCTGGAGGGAATGCCAGGCTTGCTGAGCTTGGCCCAGCCTGACCTAAGCAGCAGCAAATAAAGTCAAGAATTTTCTGAGGTGTCTGGAGGCTTTGGATGAGCCCTGCTGGTGCGACTCACAGGAGTCTGATCTTCAGAGACTAGGCAGGAGCAGCATTTGAAAATATGAAATCTCCCTAAAAGAATTTTCTTTAACTGTGAAATGCAAAACCACTGCCAGAAGTGACTCCCTTTCCAGCACAGACAGAAATCACCACACTATGCTTGTTTGGGATTGCTTTTATCCCTTTGCTGCCAGTTACACTCCAGATCTCACTGCCTGAACTGTGCTTAGGAGAGAATCCCAGTCCTGGCATTCCCAGACTCCCTGATGACAACTCTGTTTAAACAAGTTGCTGTGAGAAACTCAGAGGTATCCAAGTCTCCTTTCTGTCAGGTCAGAAGCAGGATGTGCTCTGGCTCATGGGTGATCCCCTCTTGGCTGGCCACCCAGCTGCACTCCCATGCTGACTGCCCAGCCAGCTCCCACCAAACAGCTTTTTCCCTTCTCCCACTGGGTCAAGAGTGAAGTTACTTCCCTTTGCCAAGCCTTTAATTTTCAGGAAAGATGGAGTTGCCTAATAACTTTGAGACCTCTGGCCTTCTGTCAAATCATATTAAAATTCACTTGCAAATTCCTGGGTTGCAGGGGGAGGCAAGGCTGACTGCAGGGGGTTGTTTCTTTTGAAAAACCAGGCCAAAACCAGAAGATATATCAATGACTTTAATGGGGAAATAAACAACTGTCAGGAGAGCAGCTTGCAAACTCCTTGTTATGAGAGGAAGATCCACCCATTTCCTGATGTCCCAGTTTTTGACAGATCACTGCCAGCTGCCCGTCTGGCAAGCTGTGGCCACAGATCATCCAAGATCAACTTGCAGATATCTTAATTGGGTGCTGCTGAGAGGAGGGCTGTCATAAACAAATGGCTGGGCCTGCCTGGGATGAGCAGCAGCAGCAAATAAATGAATATTCTGCCATCAGTGTCCTGACAGGGAACAAATGAACGCTGAGAAATGTAGAACGTGAAATCACAGCAGCATGGAATGGTCAGAGAGAAGGGACATTTGAAAGACGACCAAGCTGCACTAACTCAGGTACTTGAAGTGCTCATTGCAATCTTGTCATTTCCAGGCCAAGGGGGAAAGCTGTAGTGACTAACAGGAGACACTGGGCTTCCTAACCCAGGCTGAGATGGGCTGCAGAACTGTGGGGCACCAGAACCATGAGACAAGCAGTTCAAAGCCACACTATCACTGCAGTCCTGGGCAACCAGACAGCCCATTTCTGCTGCTTCCAAGGCTCTCACAGACTCTCCCATCCTGGGTGTCCCATACTGCTTCCCACTCCACAGGCTGGGCCACAGGGGAAGTGATGGCAGCAGGATGCAGTGGAGAAAGGATGCTGGAGGTCTGGTCTGGGCCCTGCAGCCATGGCACAGCTGAAGGCCAACCCTCCCACTCACAGACACATCTCAAACAAGTCACTTTTGGGGCAGCCCAACCAGCAGCAGTTACCAGCCACGCTGAACACTTCTAAACCCCTTTGGAGGTTTGGTGTGCCCTTGGTTACTCACCCAGGAGCTGGTTGGCAGAGGAGGTGGTGAGGTTGAACTGCTGCTCCAGGTACTTGCCCAGGAAGGCGGCGAAGCCGGCCACCACGGCGATCTCCATGCAGGCTGCCAGGATGATGCAGGTGAACACGGGGTTGGACAGCAGGTGCTTGGTCACTTTGGGGATCACTACAAGGGAGGAAAAAGGGAGAGGTGTGTGGAATTTTGGGCACTCAGGGTCACCAATTGTGGTGGTGTTCACAGGGGTCTCAGGATGGGCAAAGAGACGAGAATCTTGACTTCCATGTTTCAGAAGGCTGATTTATTATTTTATGATGTATTAAAACTATACTAAAAGAATGGAAGAAAGGATTTCATCAGAAGGCTGGCAAGGAATAGAAAAGAAAATGGAATGATAGCAAAAGCTCGTGACTCTCAGAGAATCCGAGCCAGCTGACTGTGATTGGCCATTAATTAGAAACAACCAACATGGATCAATCAAAGATGCACCTGTTGCATTCCACAGCAGCAGATAATTATTGTTTTTCTTTTCCTCTGAGGCGTCTCAGCTTCTCAGGAGAAAAAATCCTAACAAAAGGATTTTTCATACAATATGTCTGTGACAGAGGTGTTTTTGTGTAGACTTGAGGTGCTGGAGGTGCCTCTCTCCTCCTCTGTGGGGTACACTCATTTCACAGCAAGAGTAATTTCCTGTTCTGCACAGAAAAACTGCTGGAAATGTGGGAACACCAGAACAAAGTGAAACACCCGAACAGTGCCACTTAAAGATTCAAGAACCAAGAGGTGCAAAAAGAAATAATCAGTGATTATTTACTCTTATAGAAAACTGGAAGAATGAGAAAAATTTCCAACATTCCTTTTTGTTTTCCCCATAGGGAAGTCAATCAAAACCTGGTGTGCTCTTTCTTCCCCTTCTCCTTTCTGTACCTGCTCCCCATGAACAAAGCTGAGCCAGCTGACAGGTGCCATGAGTGCTGTATTCAGCATAAATCCTTGCAAGCTTTAAGACACAAACTAACCCAGCTCACATCCGGACTCTCCTTCTCCTGCCATCCAGATTTGATTCATTTTCCTGTTCCAAACTGGCTCACTCACTGATGGCCACCTTCTTGCAGCACATGGGGGTGTTTTCAGCAAGCTGAAACTCTCAGGCTTAGCCTGGCCCATGGATACCCCATGGCCCAAGGGTCCTCCTGCCTGGGACAGGCTTGTCAGTCTGTGTGTTTCCACAACCTAAAGCTTCTCCAGCCTTCCATGCAGACCCTGCCATCCTTAACAGGGTGGAAGGGGACGTGCTGAGCTGTTCACTGTGTAGGACACACACATGTGGCTCTGATTTCATGATCCCTTGGCTCTCCCCTCCCAAATCATCGAGTCCCCTCTACTCCAAGCCCGTCTCAATTTCCCATAGGCAAACAAGAGTAACCCTACAAAGGGAAATCTGTCTAATGAATCAGATTGCACGTTTTCTACTCCAGCGAGCATTTTAATTATTGTAGAGATAACACAGCTTGAAGAGGAGAGCATCCCAGTACAAAAGAGAGCCTTGCTTTGTCTCCATACCTGATGACTAATTTCTCCCTGAATTAAATGTGAAAATCATTAAGTTTGAAAATTACCTTGAAGTAGTGTAGTGAAGCCTCAATGGACCCCTATTTGCATTTTGAAAATCCATCCCCCAGATCCCCTGTGGTGTACCAGGGGCTGGCAGATGATGTTTCTCTGGTGCTGGGTTATGTTTTCCCTCAGGGATTTTTTTGCACTGGCCTCAGCAGAGAATGCACAGCTCTTTGTCAAGGCTCTGCTTGGGTGCCCTTGGCTCTTTCTTGGGGACAGTGGGAAGAAGGGTTATAATTAGGTTTGATCTAACCTTTTTGGAAGAGGTCACTTCACAGTTTCTGGTCTCTTTAAATCAGAAACATTTTTCCAAGCTGTATAAAATTTCTGCTTCCTAAAGATTTACTGAACATAATTAAGGTGCAAGAGGCATAGCAATTTTTAGCAGAATGAGTGAAAAAAGAGAAGAAAAAAGGGGGAAAAATACTGTGTGGGAGGAATGGGGATGAGGGAATTCAGACATGGATAAATTTCAGAAGCCACCTGCTGCTTCCTTCAGTTCTTTGGTGGCCACCTACAGAATTTCCCCTTCTTGCCAGGAAAAATATAGAAAATGAAAAGGTGGACTTGGCAGCACTGAGCTTGAAAATCCATATTTAAGGTATTAATGACTGTTGTGCCTCGGGAGTTCAGTTTGTTCAAGATTAATGGATTCCTTGAGATGTAGCTTTGTGCCAATTTAAATCCAAAGACACTAAGGTCTAGCTCTAACTTTATCCACCAAACAATAGTGATGACAGCCTGGCTTTTGCAGGAGGGAGCTAAAGATCACGGACATTTATTTCTGAAGTTGGCACCCAACCATCATGCACTACCAAGGTCAAAATCCATCTTCTGTGCTTGGGGTGGACAACAAAAAAAATTGCAGAGTTATTGCAGCATCTCACACAGGAGAGGAAGCCCTCACAAGTGCCTTGTCTGGCAGCGCAGGGCTCCAGGTCACAGCACTTCATCAGCTACAGGAGAGCTGGAAAGGGACTTTTGACAAGGCTGTGTACTGACAGGACAACAGGTAATGGCTTTAAACTGAAAGAGGGAGGGATTAAATTAGATATAAGGAAGAAGTTCTTTACTGTGAGGGTGTGAGACAGGGGAACAGGGTGCCCAGAGAAGCTGTGGATGCCACTGAAGTGTCCAAGGCCAGGCTGGACAAGGCTTTGAGCAACCTGGTCTAGTGGAAGGTGTCCCGGTGCATGGTGAGGTGTCTGAAATAAGATGATCTCTAAAGTCCTTTCCCACCCCAATCTTTCTGTGATTCCTTGATTCCACAATCACTGCTTCTTCTTCCTGTGAGTTTTCTGGGACAGATCCTGTCCTCTGCTGAATGTCTGACCAATGTCTACTGCAACTCTGAACCATCAGGCATGTGGGACACAAAACCCAGTGCAAAGAGTGCACAGACAACTCAAGCAGTCTGGCAGCCTCCACCATCTCCTCAGCCAGGGCCAGCTCATTCTCTTTCATCTTCTAAGGGAAATAAAAGGGGATTTCCCTATAGAATTGAATATCCTTTCATCTTGCTACTGCCATTTGCTAAGATCAATCATTTGACACCGGCTGCTGCCTCATCTGTCTCAGTTCTTGGGGTGAAATACCTCTGGGAAGAAGGTAAAAAGTCAGCAGCAAAGTTTAAAAATCTCTCAGTGGACTAGAGTGACATGCTTTCAGCTGCTTGGCATATGGTGCTGGCTATGGAGTAGGAATGGAAATGCCTGATGGGGGACAGTGAAGCCCCGGGGAACACAACAGCTATGGATGGTGTTTCTCCACTGGAGCCAGCCCAGCAGGGTGTCATGGCAAATGTCACCCTGCACTTTTACAGGCCCAAAGGTTACCTGAACACTTTGGAGCAGCCCTTTGCAGCTACAAAGCTCAAATGGAGCCCTTTTACAAAGTGGGAAAAGTCTTTTGGAGTCCAAAGAGTCTCAAAAATCTACTTGGAGAAAACCCACAAGCCGCAGCAGGCAGGGCACACAGACAGACTCAGCCTCCCACTCGCAGAAGGACGAGCTCATTTCCCATCCTCATCCTGGTGCACCTGACACGCTCCAGGATTCCCAGAAAAGTGATTCCCACCACCCTGGCAAGATGCACTGAGGAGAACACAACATCTCTTTTCACTTCTGTCTTTAATCCCAACTCTTCAGAGCATCCACGTGCAGTGCTGGTCACAGATCATCCGCAGGCTGGGAGGGATCTGGGTGGACGTCCCAGAGCTCTCCAATATCCCCCACAAATCCCTTGATTTCCCACCTTTTCCCACTCAAGCAACACTGGTTCCAAAGCATCCAAACCCCCTCCCTGTCTCCCTCCGTGGGTGCTCTGTGGATGACAGGCCAGGGGCTTGACAAATGCACACACTTATGTACACCAAGTAGCTTTGATTTGTCACTGCACATCGGGGAGTAGCGGGGATAATTGGCAACCTCATTACACGAGGTTTAACTACTCTCCAGAAACGACAAACTATAATCATCACGTTGGTGCTTGAAATGAATTGTTTGGAACATTACAATCACCAAGGCCCCTGTTTCTGGTTGGAGCACCCTACAGAGACATGTTTTCAATTTGCAGTAACGATGAAGAACACAGAAAGCAAAGTAATAAATTAGAGGGAGGTTTACAGCCCAGTCCACCTAGGACAGAGTGGTGAGGGAAAGGCAAAATGTAGTCCTGAGCCAAAATATGACTTTCTACTACCCATGTCAGCAGCAAGCCTCAGGTCTCAAGAGAAAGCAAAAGGCAAAACCTCCACCTGGCTTGAGGAAAAAGGGATGAAGAAAACAGCACAGGCAGCAAGAACAAAACACATTCTGTAAAGAGGTGGCTTCTGTAAAAAAGAATATGGAGTAAGGCAAGAAGTGCTGAAGATATCTCAGGTGAGGTTAGTATGCTGAAGTTCCATGTGGCCTTGGCAAAATTATCATAATGGATATGAGAGAAAAGCATGACACATAAATCAAAAAAGCCTTCCAGACAAGATGCAAGCTTGAAGCAGCAGTTACATACTCAAGCATGGAAAGCAGGTCCTTCTCGTCCATCATCTTCCCTGCAGGAACCACCTTTACTTGACTTGAGAGGAGGACAGAAACCTCCCTCAACTGTGACACAGAAGTCATGTCACATTTTTTGTAGACAGGCTCTGCCTGCCTTCAGCTGCTGCTCAGCTTTGGCCCTGAGGTGTGCAGGCTGAAGGCCTTTCTGAATTTTTTAATGGTGCTGACAACAAGATGCCGGCTTGGAAACAGCCAAGAGAAAGCTGACAACAATATCTGCACCCTTATGAAACACAAGCCACAGAAAACTCAAAGACTGCTGGGACGTGATGCCTTTTATGATCACCATCTTCTCACCTAAGACTGGGACTTCTCAGCAAGCCTTTAAAGTGTTTTGTTTGCAGGGGGACAAGACCCAAATCCAAAACGGCATTAAAGTCTAAACCTGGGCCAAAGCCTCACTGCTGTGGCTGTGAATGAAGGTATAGATGGAGCCCTCTCCAAAAGCTTGTCACTACCAGTCATGAGAAGTCAGGAGTTAAAAACGACCCTTGTTAGCCTTTAATCCTGCCCAATCCTATGAACTCCCACTGAGGATTACAGGCTCCCCATGGTCCAGGTCCTTCCTGCACAGCTGGGAGCTTCTGGCCCAGCACTGTGCTCCCAGTGAGAGAAACTTTTTGGGAGAGAAATCCCAGATTCAGAGCAGCTCCCTCCCTAGGTATTCAGCAGATTGGTACATGGAGCAGGACAGAACTGAACAGAAGACAAGGCAGCTGTCAGCTGTACGTCCAGCTCTCCTACACTCTTGAAAATGAAGCTGGAAAGAAACCAAAACGTTTCCAAATCTAGGGAATTTGCAGTTCTGAAATTCATTTAATTCCACAGTGAGTTTTCTTTTAATTCCTCGTGAATGAGCTTCCCTTTCCAAACCTGGAGGATTCCATATCAATTTCAATCCTTTTAGGGCTTTAATCTCTCCTGCTAGACAGAGCGGCAGAACGTAACGAATTTCTGGTTTAAATCATTGCAAAACAGAATGCATTTAGGGCAGAGTGCTTCAGAGGTGTTAAAGATCATGCAGAGGAAGCATTCTGAAATCAAATTTCATCAGAACTGGCCGCTCAATTCAATAGATGTGACATTTCCGTGTGGAAAAAAAAAAGGAAGGTTTTTAATGAACTATTTCCAAGCACGTCCCAGAGCAGGTGGTGCGTCAGAGGCAGCGAGTGAGAGGGCAGATGTGGACAGACTCGAGCAGGGGGCACTGACAGAGCTGAGCATCTTCTCTGGCCCAAGGAGCAGAGAGGTCCCCAAGGCAGAGCAGAGGCAGGAAAGCAAAGCTGTGCCCCCCAGTAGAGCCCAGCCCATGCCTGAAGTGCTCTCACAGACCACACGGAGAGCACAGGGCTGGAACAACCCTGCAAGGCGGGAGCAAAGAGCATTGGCAGCGTTTATTCAGGCTTCCACTGCTGTTAATCCTTCACTTCTCTGTGCTCCCCAGTGGATTTGCTTTGCTGAAATGAAATACTAATCAGGCAAAGCGGTGCAGCATCCCCGTGCCAGTTTAGCCACGGGAAGCAACTCCCAGGACTGTCCCAAAGCTTTCCTGCCTGAGCTGCCATGCCCCTGTGCTGAGCCCCCTGCTGCCTCCACTGCCTTTGATTGCCTCTTCACCTCGTGCTCTTCAAAGGCACCACTTTCATTTCAAGTTTAGAGCTCCTCTTAAGGCTGCTTCTTTCCTGGCATGAAAATACCCCACAGGAAGAGATGCCAGGGCTTCCCAAAAGCTGGGCCCTCCCTCCTGCTTAAGACTTTGACAGAGATGTAAAAGATCAATACTTTGAGCATGTTCCTTTTATATTAGTCCTGGCTTTTTTTGCGTGCTAAGGCTAGAGAAAGCCAAGGAATCTCAGCCAGCACTCCATCTCACTGACTTCCAGCAGATCTTGTGGTGTCTGGAGCATCCTCCCACTTGCCAGCCGTGCCATGTCTCTAGCTGACAGCCATGACCCAGCTCAGAGCATGTCCCCAGCTGACACTGCCCTGCTCCCTCTCCTAGCAGGACCTTCCTCTTGTGGCAGTCACTGCAAGGCTTGGAAAAAAATGTAAGAAAAAATAATAAAGCTCCTTCAGTAGCCAAAAAGGAGATGCAGTTCAGCCTCTAAGGATGTGCTGTTGATACAGAGGGTGTTTGCATAATCGATCCAGAGAAGCAGCTCTTCCTCCCCACACTTGCACAAGAGATGGACAATCCACACCTCCATGCAGACATGGACACACAGCAGGAACAGCTCTGTCCAGGACCAGCTGCAGAGACTCCACTTGCTAAAAATGAGGCAGAGTTATGACCATACAAACCCCAAGGACCATCTCCAGTCCCAACCCCCTGTGCAGGCAAATCCTCTGCTGCTGCCTGGAGAATCTTGTCCCAACCCTGGAAGTGTTCAGGGCCAGAATGGATGGAGCTCTGAACAAGCTGGGCTAGTGAAAGGTGTCCCTGCCCATGGCAGGGGGGTTGGAACTAGATGGTCTTTAAGGTCCCTTCCAAATCATGTCATTTTATGATTCCATGGATTCTCTTCAGCATCACAAATTCATGCAAAATCCAAGGTCATATTCAGACGGAAGACACGACTATGCATGCACACACATATTTTTAACCTCTGTATATAATAAAGAGCCTTTTTTACCCTAGGAAAAAGCAGTCTTAACTTTCTCCAAGCAGTCTTAACTTTCTCCAAAGGAGAATCAACAAATAAATTAGGGAGACTAAGATCTGCCACAAAAGAATGCCTGCAAATATTTCAGCTGCCACCAAAGTAGTGTAGACCCACATAAAGATTTACCCATCACCTGAAACACTGCTCAGCAGGGATGATGAGGTGTGTTTGCCTCACTTCAGCAACGTGACTCTTGACCATATTCTGACTATGGCAACAGTGGCAAGGGATTTGAAAGGAGATGCCAGCTACCGTGTCATCTGTGATAGCCTCAAAGGAATAACTAAAAAGGTCATTCCTTGTCTTATTTGATGTCATGTAAATTTTATTTCAAAGTCCATCTCCAAAGAGGCTCCTGGAATACTGACTGATCTGAAATGGGGTTACCTGCAGTGAGAGGGCTAACGTGGAGGCCTGTGGTGCCTCCTGATGTAATCAATACTTGAAGCATATGGATGTGGCAGTTTAATTTCTCTACTTCAATGAGCAACAGATGCTCAGTGAACCCCCCATGGCCTCCCTGTGTGCAAGACGCTCAGCACCATCCTCAGGCTGAACTGCTGCCCCTCCATGCAGCAGGGATACGTCATATTCTTTCATTTTTTTAATATGAAAACCTGCAAACATTTCCAGTGCCCACTCCAAAAGCTCAGTGGCCAGAAGCAGGCACTCTGATGTGTACACAACAAATGCCACAGAACCATCCATATGGACATATCATGGGAAAAGCCTCATTCAAGAGAAAATCCTTGCAACAAGGATGAAACGATGAAGAAATGAATTTTACTGACTGAGTTTCAAACAATTTATCCCTTTACCTTTCTTCTGAATTTACTCATCAAGTCAAAATTTCACATCTTTGACCTTTCCTTAATGAACAACCACATCTAGTATTCAAGGCATTTTATATATTTGGACAACACATTTTTCCCCAAAGTCTCTTTCCTTCCCACCCGCACTTTGTTCAACTCCCAATTAAGGTGACTGCACAGGGAGTAAGTGATTTTCTCCTCATTTATCTAAATGCATCAGGCAGTAATGAAACCTGCTCTGCCACGGCAACAGGGAGTGGGAAGCAGCCACCAGTGCTACAGAAACACCCTCTCAGATGAAGGATTTTCCAGTACAGCCTAGAGAAAGGATATCTGCCCACACTCTCCCACAAAATCCTGGATCCTCAGCTGACTTTAATTAGAGTCACCTCCATTTCCATCACTGCAGGACATGATGTGAGGCTTTCTCTGTAATTTGCTACAAATTATGCTCTGCCCAGCCATTTTGCTGCTATTCTGGGCTGGTATCTCCCTCTTCCCATTTCAGTTTAAGAGCTGTAGTGATGCCCAGCACTCATTGCTTTGTATCTGGGATTGCACTAAGCTGAAACTCAGGTGCTGGGAGCTCCCAATTTCTTTTAAGTGCCCTTGCTGGCTCTCTCTCTGTTTTGGGAGGCAGAAGGGAGCAGAACAGTACACTGGAGAGAAGTTCACAAACTGCTCTGGCAACTGTGCTCCCCTTCATTATTTTTAGCAACTCACACATTTCTCACATAATTCAGAGAATCACCAGGTTGGAAGAGACCATCAAGTCCAACCCATGCCCTAACACCTCAACTAAACCACGGCACTGAGTGCCACATCCAGTCTTTTTTTGAACACATCCAGGGATACTGACTCTATGACTTCCCCAGGTAGACCATTCCAGAACTTTATCACTCTTTCTGTAAAAAACGTTTTCCTAATACATTAGCAAATATATTTTTATATTTACAAAAATATATATTTATATATAAAAATTGTATTTTTGTAATATATTTTCATATATAAAACTTATATTTATATATATATAATATATTTATATATAATTATATTTTTCAGAATATATTTTCATATATAAAATTATAATATATACTATATATAATATATAAAAATTTATATATAAAAATATTTATAATATATAAAAATTTTATATAATATATAATATTATATATTATATAATATAGAAAAAAATTATATATAAAAATATTATTTTTCCTAATATATTTCCAACCTATATTTCCCTTGGCACAGCTTGAGACTGTGTCCTCTGGTTCTCTTAGTGCTGCCTGGAGAAAGAGCCCAACCCCACCTGACTACAACCTCCTTTCAGGGAGCTGCAGAGAGTGATAAGGTCATCCCTGAGCCTCCTTTTCTCCAGGCTAAACATCTCCCAGCTTTTTTTAAGCTTTGCAGCTTAAAAAAACCAAACAAACCACAGCCTCCAAGTGGAACGAAGCCTCTCATTCAGATACAAGCAACACAAACAGAAGTTACGGACTGAAACTCGAGGCAGCTGATTCACGGGGCGAATTTGCCGGGACGGAGGAGCTGCTGCTGAGCTGGCCTCACCTCGCAGCTGCTGGAAGCAGGTGGTGGTGGTGGTGCTGTCCCCATCGAGCGGGTGCCGCAGGACGCCGTTGCTGGGCTTGTGGCGCTGGCAGTCCCTGTCGGGCAGCATGGCCTGCTCGCTGTCCCCAGCGCGCTCCGGCCGCGGCCCCAGCGCCTGCGGGAAGCCGAACATGGGCAGCGACGAGAAGAAGAGTAAGGCACCGCAGAGCAGGAAGCCTCCCCACCACGCTCCGATCCACCGAGGGTCGTCCGGGGTGATGTCCAGCTTGCCTGTGAGGGGGGCAAACAGCGGTCAGGGGTTTGGGCCTGTCTGGTCACAGAGAGCCACAGGTAACCTTCCCTGGCATGGTGCTGGGAAAGGCTGCGAGAAAATCAGAGAAAAGAATGAGAAAAAAATTCTTACCTCCACTCGCTACACCTGATGTTGTGAACATGTGGAATGGAGATTTGTTTAGCAAAGGGGGGTGTCCTAAGCAATAGTGATGGTGTTTTAATTAAAGGACCAATCAAGATCTCAGAAAATAATGAGAAACAATTCTTACCTCAACTTGCTACACCTGATGTTGTGAACATGTGGAATGAGGTTTACCAAAGGGTGGTTTCCTCATCAGCCAGTGGTGATGTTGTTTTAACTAAAAGACCAGTTCTTATCTCCACTTGATATTGTAACCTGATATTGTAACACCTGATATTGTGACCATGTGGAATGTGTTACGGAGATTTGTTTAGCAAAGGGTGGTTTAGTTAAAAGAACAATCAAGATCACAGAAAAGAATGAGAAACAATTCTTACCTCCACTTGCTACACCTGATATTGTGAACATGTGGAATGGAGGTTTACCAAAGGCTGGTTTCCTAATCAGCCAATGGTGATGGTGTTTTAATTAAAAGACCAATCAAGATCAGTGAAAAGAATGAGAAACAGTTCTTATCTCCACTTGATATTGTAACCTGATATTGTGACACCTGATATTGTGACCATGTGGAATGTGTTACGGAGATTTGTTTAGCAAAGGGTGGTTTAGTTAAAAGAACAATCAAGATCACAGAAAAGAATGAGAAACAGTTCTTACCTCCACTTGCTACACCTGATGTCATGAACATGTGGAATGGAGATTTGTTTACCAAAGGGTGGTGACCTAAGCAATGGTGATGGTGTTTTAATTAAAGGACCAATCAAGATCACAGAAAACAATGAGAAACAATTCTTACCTCCACTTGCTACACCTGATGTTGTGAACATGTGGAATGGAGGTTTACCAAAGGGTGGTTTCCTAATCAGCCAATGGTGATGGTGTTTTAATTAAAGGACCAATCAAGATCAGTGAAAAGAATGAGAAACAGTTCTTATCTCCACTTGATATTGTGACACCTGATATTGTGACCATGTGGAATGTGTTACGGAGATTTGTTTAGCAAAGGGTGGTTTAGTTAAAAGAACAATCAAGATCACAGAAAAGAATGAGAAACAGTTCTTACCTCCACTTGCTACACCTGATGTTGTGAACATGTGGAATGGAGATTTGTTTAGCAAAGGGTGGTTTCCTATTTGGCCAGTGGAGATGGTGTTTTAATTAAAAGACCAAGCAAGATCACAGAAAAATAATGAGAAACAATTCTTACCTCCACTTGCTACACCTGCTATTGTGAACATGTGGAATGTGTTAGGGAGATTTGTTTAGCAAAGGGCAGTTTCCTAATCAGCCAATGGTGACAGTGTTTTAATTAAAAGACCAATCAAGTACACCTATATCATAATTGTCTATAAAAGAGCAATGGGTTTCTTAATAAAGATTATTATTGATCAATAATTATTCTGTAATGCATGGGGTCTGTGTCACACTCACCTGACACGTACTGGCACAGACCTGCACAGAGAAGGACACTGCACCTCCAACCCTGCTTATCACCCTGTTTTCCCAGGAGCTCAATGCTCCCTCTGCTTTGAATTCTCTTTTCAGCAAAAGAGAGATTGGCATTTGGGTTTTAGGGGCAACTGTGACTATGTGGAGGGCGAAACAGTCCTAAATATTGGAAAATAAACCCACCCACAGCATCAAATGGGCTCAGGAAAGTACAGGACTAATCAGAAAAGGAAGAAAAGCAAAATAAAAGGCCAGAGTATCCTGTATGTCATCACTCAGCAGAGGTAAGGCCCAAGAAGGGTCTGGAGTCAGTGTGAGGAAATACAAATAAACAGCAGGAGAGGAAAAACTGTTTTCCTAACAGCTGCCTTGCTGCCACAGCCACAAGGGTGCCCAGTGCTGGAGCTGATTCCTGGGGGAGACCCAGGTCCACATGGCTGGAATAACAAGCTGCTCTGTTCATGGTGACTGTCTGGTTACTGCCACTCTGAAAAATCTGTCTCAAGTGAGGCAATCAAGTTGTCTCTCAAGCAGAGACAGAAGGAAACTCTTTTCTCCTTAGGGAAAATAACACGTAGCTCTCAAATACAGATAAAGTTTGAAAAATAGTGTGGTGGAGGGACTGGATTCTTCTGCTGTTATTTCCTCCTGCCTGAAGTGCATTTTTTTCAGGTTGTTGGGAACACAACAGTGTGAAGAGTCAGGCAAATCAGAGTTTTCTTCATACTCCCTTCCTAAGATAGCTGCTGGGTGGTGGGCAGTGCAGCAGCATGCCCACCTGCCCAAAACCTGCCCACCTGTGGCATCCCACACCTGTGCAAACAGGGAGCAGGACAAGGCTCAGCCCCCTGGAGCTGGTTCTCCTTATGGCACCCAGAGCTCCAAGGCAGAGCCAGCTGCAAAGTGGAAACTCCTTCCCATACAGAAACAAACAGAGGCCATGTGTGCCTCAGCTTTTGCATGGCAGGGACTGACCATGGCCAAAGCCAGCTGGAGCTGGAGTTTGGAGCACTGCACCCTCCCTGGAACGTGGCTGAGCCACAGCCCTTCCAGGCTTCTCAGCACTAATGGGCTACAGCTCTTCTCTGTGGCTCAGGATTTCTCTGGGGCTTTTTGAGCTGCAAATACTGAGCAATGTCTTCTGTTAAAAATGGCCAGAAGATACCAAATTAACTTTTCAGCTAGGTCAGCGTCTTGCCTCTGATAGCAACCAACTGCAGATGCCCAGAAAGCCTACAAGAATAAAGTCAGCATATATTATTCTTGTGGCTTGGGGGCTTTATAAGCTATATTTGGTGTCATGTTCATTTTTTTCAGATATATACACTTGTCCAATTGCTTTAAAATCCATTTGGAGATTTTTAGCACCTTATGGTGAGGAGTTCCACAGCTTCACCTACTGGGAGATAAAATATTTTCTTCTGTACATTCGTATTTTAGTGTAAATTATACTAAATGGTAAAATATCCAACAGGTTTCAAATAGCTGCTCTGCCAAATGAGGCTTTGGTAAAGCCAAGGAATGAAAAAGGGCCATGTGGTGTTTGACCAAACTGCAGCCAAATGCCTCAGCCATTCCAAAAGATACTTCTTTCTCAGTTGATATTATTTACATTTCTTCAGCTGCCACGTGCATGTGAGATCAAAAAAAGGCAGTGACAATTTTGCAGATTTGCACAGTTCTGTTCTGAGTCCCGCAAGGTTCAACTCCATCCAAACGTGTTCTGTGACAACACATTTACAACACCCTAGAGCTGAAATACAAGCAACAAAAACCCTGCATAAGGGTCTGTGGGATCCGATGGAGCTGAGAACTGTGGAAAAAGCACCTGAACAATTGAGGGAAAGGAATGAAGCACCAGGTTTGCCGTGGGTAGCAGAGCGCAGGGGAGCAGCAAGCAGAGAACAGCCTGTTACATGTTGCCCTCTCATGGCAAAGAAGACGCAGTGCAGGCACCAAAAAAAGCAGAGTTTGGTCTAAATGAACAAAAGGACAGTTTGCAAAAGGACAATTTGCAAAAGGACGGTTTGCAGACAATCTGCTTTAACCCAAGTGAAGTCAGGGTGAGTAATAATTATTTAATACTTTGGAGAAAAGCAATAACGCGGTGGGACTGACTGATGTTGCCCATCCATCCCCTCCAGGGCCATGAGCAGAAGGTGCTGGGCATGGATTCTCCTGGTGTGCCTCCATCAGAACCTGGCTGGCTCCCCACACCCTGGGGTGGCAGCTCTCCAGATTCCACCCCATGCTCTGGGCACAGCTCCCCTGGCGTGACAATGCCACAGTGCCATTTCAAGGTGTCCTTTAAGAGCTGGGATGAAACTCATCTCATAGAGAAAACCACAGAAAGAACAAATTTTAACCATTAAAAATCTGTTATTTATCAGAACAGAGCTGAAACATTTTGAATCCCAGTCTTAAAACCCTTCTAAAAGTGACACTCGTACATGCAAGAGGCACTGAAGATGGAATGACAGTTTCCTGCTTGTGAGCATCAACATTTTTGTCCTGATGATAAAAATTTTGATTTGAAACCAAACCCAGTTCTCCTTACTTGTGTCAATGAAGACAGCATCCACATAGATTTTGGTACAGAAGGAGCCCAAGATAAATCCACAGGCTGGCCCAAATACCAGCATGGTAAACAGGATCCCTACAAGGAGAGAGAAAAGAGAAGATTAGCACCAGGCTCTGGTTATTCACTGCAAGTTGTTCTGCTTGTCTGCTGTAAGATGGTATTACCTCAGTGATGCCAAATAGATAGGGACAGTCTCTGTGCTGAATGCTCCAAGCAAAAGAGCACCCTAAATGTGTTTTGCTTTTCCATATCTCTTCAGGAAAATGAACAGATGGAGGTGTGATAATGCTGAAGGATTTCTGCTGAGCTGAGGAGACAGTGTGGACATATGCTGTGTTTTGGTCGGCTGGCTGCTCTGAAAGATGTCTTACTCAACAGCACAAGGTAAGGCAGCCCTGCCTTCTCCTCATGGGCATCTCTGTCTTTGCCACCTCCAGCTAAAATCCTGGTAGACAGGATTTTCAGACATTAGGGACAGCAAATCTATGAAACTGGCATTGTCACAGACTGCTGGATAAAGTCCCTTTGCAGAAGTAGGAGCACTTTTCCACATCTGTGAAGCCCCTCTCCCCATCAGACACACATGACAAATATTCATGCTGTGTGGATCTTCCAGCCCCTCACAACTGCTTGTTCCTTCTAAAAAACCTGCATGAAATTGCCAGTGTAACGCCAGGAGAAGAGCTATTATGAGTAAATTACTTATTTGTTTCAATACAGTGTTTAGAAGCATTTATTTTCACTCCCATTTTGGCCCTGAAACAAGAATGCTACAGGCACAGAGCCAGCACTCAATTATCCAGGGCAGAAAGGCAGGGGGACAACAAGGATAATCCAGAAAAAAAAGCAGCAAAGATAACACAAAACATTTGTAAATTAGACAAAAAGAACATATTAGGTACTTTCACATTTGGGATAACAACAACATTTGGGAAAAACAACAAAAAGTCTCCCAAGGACCCCTGTAAATGGTTTTCTGAAGGGAGCAGGGACAGATTGAGCAGTGTGGAGCAGGGCAAGAGCCTGTTTGTTCCCTCTGGGGGAAGGCATTGCTGATGGACCCCTGTGCCTGGTGAGGGGGAACCTCAGCAGGGCTGTGCCAGCACCAGCCCTGATGTCACTGCACTTCAGAGATGGCCCACAAAGGGGTTTATTTGCATCTGGGTGCTTTGCTCACTCTCCTGATCTCTCTGGGGGTGTTGCCTGGCATCTCAGTGCATTTATAATGCACTTCATCGCAGCTGTCTCAGCCCTCAAGTTCCTTATCTGGAAACTTTTTAATTCCCAAGCTCCCTCTCTATGCATTTCTCAGGAGCTGGAGAAATTATCAGAGCTGCAAAAAAATTCCCAGAGACCCCCATCCCCAGGCAAGGCAAACCCAGAGACCCCCATCCCCAGGCAAGGCAAATCCCTGCCTCCCAAAATTATCAGAGCTGCAAAAAAATTCCCAGAGACCCCCAGGCAAAGCAAACCACACCAGCCAACAACAGCTTAGCCAAGCAGAATAAGCTGGTATGGTCAGAAGCAACTTCACCTTCATTTTTAAAATGCAGGATGCAAGCTAATTCCTCATTTTTCAAGTGCAGGGTGCAAACTAATTCCTCCAGGCTGCTGGCACTGGGACCTGGCTGGATTAATAAGCAGGGACAAAGCAGAGGTGCCCCCAGGCAGCTGCTCACACACAAACCCAGTGCATTGAAGCCTTCAAGGCTCTTCTCACCTGGAGCAGCACAAGGGACAAAGGAAGGTGGTGGGAGGAGAAGAAGTGCCAGGTTGTGTGAGCTGCACTGAGGGGTTGTCACAGGCACATTTTATGGAACATCCTTTCCTTAGGATTTTTTCTTCCTGAGAAGCTGAGAGGCCTCAGGAACAAAATGTAAGCAATGGTTATCTGCTGCTGTGGAATGCAACAGGTGCACCTGGGATTGGGCTCATAGAGTTGTTTCTAATTAATGGCCAATCACAGTCCAGCTGTCCAGACTGTCTCAGTCGGTCACAAGCATTTGTTATCATTCTTTTTCTATTCTTAGCCAGCCTTCTGATGAAATCCTTTCTTCTATTCTTTTAGTATAATTTTAAAATAATATATATCATAAAATAATAAATCAAGCCTTCTGAAACATGGAGTCCACATTCTCATCCTGGGACCCCTGAGAACACCATCACAAGGGGTCACTGCTGTCAGGGCAGCAGCAGGAGCTGCCAGCCCCTGCCCAGTCTCTGCCAAGCTCAAAGCTGCAGCAAGCCACTGTGTCTCAGCCCATGCTGCCACTTTAAATTAATCCCCAGGGTCTCTGCCTGTGCTGTCCCATGTTGTGACAGGAGGACCAGCCATGTCCCCTCCTGCAGTCACCTTGTCCTGGGTGCTGGGTTTGTGCTCCATGGTCCAGCAGTGCACTGGGGAATTTGTGCTCCTCGAGCCACAGAGCTGCTCAGCAGGTCTGTGCCTTGCTCCTGTAAAGCCTCACAGGGGAGATCCCTGCTCACCTGCAGAAGCATTCCATGGCATGTGAAACGAGGGGACAGGCTGAGAGAGCAGGAAAAAAGGGATTTATTCCCCCAGCACACCTCAGCCCCATCTCCCTTCCTTCCCAGCCCCGCTTGTGGCTTCCGCCAGGATTTTATAAAATATCCGTGTCACATTTGCTGTGGTCACTAGATGGCATCAGTGCTTGTCACTCAGCCCCCAGTGCCATCTGGGTGACAGGGCTGCTCAGCCTTGCTCCCAAAACACGATGGTGCCCCTGCAGCCCATGGAGGGTGGCACTGGCACTGTCAGCTCCCACACATCTGCCACAGACACACTCAGGCTGGGCCCCTTCCCTGTCTGCGTGCTGAAAATCACAGCTTTTAGCACAAACTTTCCTCTAAGTGTGAAGTTTTCAGGCACAGAATTGAAGGAGGCATGTAGCAGAGACTGCCATGGCTGTGATGAATGAGACAGCATTCAAATACCTTTGGAAACGGAACATTAATTATGAATTTCTATGTAAATAAATATGGTCAAGCACATAGGGACATGCTGGGCCCCGTATCAATGACAAATGGAGGCAGAGGGACAAGGACCAGCCAGTTCTACCCTCCAGGCAACACCCCTGGATGCAGCAGTGCTGGGCTGAGGAGGGATGGAAGTTTGTGCTGTGATGATCTCCAAACCATGGTCAGAGCTGTCTGACCATGTGTGTACAGGGAAAACCACAGAACTGGTGTTTGCTTCGTGGAGTGAAGCCCAAGACAAAGAACGTGGGAAAAGATCCTTCACCAAAAGCAAAAGGGAAATATTTTCCTCTTTTCCAAAAGCAGGGACCTGTGGCTGGTGATCCAGCAGCAGCAGGGAGATGCTTGCAGAGAGAATTATCTCAGAAAAAGGCAAACACAGAGAAAGCTGTGGCCAGTGCAGGCACAGGTGACAGACGAACACTGCCCCTCCTCACTCTATTGCATCTCAAACGTGTCAGAAACCAGCCCTGTGCTCAGTTATTGGAATACCTCATTTCATATCCTGGTGGCTGCAGGAAGGCAGGGTTTGCTCTGCCATGTCCTCACTAGAGGGCAATGTGGGATAGAGCATCCCCTGGAACACCTATCTAACATCTTACCAAAGCTATTAAATTATTATTCACCTCTAGGCTGGCTTTAAAAAACCATGTTAATTGTGTTTTCTCTTTTTCTGTAGTTTGTTCTAAAAGCAAGAAGAAAACAACTGGTTCACCCTGTGCCCTTTTTAATCTTTTTTTGAGCCTCCAACAAAAATCCTAGGGTTGCAATAATAGTATTTTACACTTTAATTCACAAATCAAGCAGATTGTGGAAAAACCCAAGGCATGGACTGTCACAAGGGATAGTCCAGGGTCTGCACAGAGCAGGACCATGCTCAAGGATCAATCAACATGCTGCTAGGAACAAAAACCAGGCTAATTGGGATAGAACCTGTGGCTGAACATCTGTGCAGAATTGAGGACACAAGGGGAAATTAGGCAAGTTTGAATTAGCTTAAGACATCCTTCCTCTTTTAAGAAATCCTGCACAACTGCCACCACCCCTGTGTTAGGAGAACACTTTCCACATCACCCACCTTGCCATGCAACCACAAAGCTGCTGCTTAGCAGAGAAGGAGGTCTTGCAAGGGCCATTTCCCCAGTGCTGGGGCTGCTGCTAAGAGCTAAAATGTGCTAAATTAGTGGCTAGCTTTAATACCACTTGCTTGACCCTTTCCCATGCTTCCTTCTAACTTTTAGATCAGTCTGATTTGATGGAGCCAGAGGACACTGGTACCAGGAGCAAACAGACCAAAGGTCCTATGCTGGCTCCACCTGCCTCTTGGGAAACTCCCACTGATGCAAATAAAACCAGTGATCAGTACAGGTACTGAAATTTGATTTTTATTTTTTTTTTAATCTCTGAGGTTTTGTTTTTTTTTTAATTCTTACTAAATTATGGCAGCTCTTAGGAATACTTCAGAGAAGAGAATTTTTTTAAAAAGGCAACTCTGTCTTGGGACAATTCAAACAATTTGTTTGGTAACTCTCAAACACTTCCTTCCAGCTTGTGTCCTTTTAGAGCACAATTAGATCTTAGTTTGAAAACAGCTAATAATTTTCAGTTTACCTGCTCTACTCCCTTCATCAGTCTTCCTGCCTCCCAAAAAGGCAGGAAATAAAAAAAGGCAGCAAAGCAGGCTGCACTGAGAAATCAGAAATGTCTTCCTCCTCATCTTTTCAAATGGAGCAATTTGCCAACTCCTACTTTGTCCTGTCAAGTAACATTTTCCCAGAGCTGAGGAAAGGATTGGGACAGAGGCCAGTATTAGATCTGACATTTTGTGATGAGACTTTATCACCAGTAAGGCCCAAGCCTGACAATGCAGTTTTCCATCAGAGCCAAGGGAAGGAGCAGCAGCAGGTCCCACATCTGTGGAGGGACGGTGGCACAGGGATGCTCTGAGTCACACAAAGTGCACAGAAAGCCAATTGCAGACAGGGATATAAAGGCTGTCAGTATTTCAATAATAAAGAGCTGTTCCTTGGTGTTTCACAGTAGCAACAGGACCCTGAAACACAAGGGCTGCTCACAGG